TAATATAGATTTTGGATAACTATGACTTTGCCTCTAGAGTAGAGTACTGCTATATCTACAAATTCTGGATGGTTTTCGTGTGAGGTGACATATGATAAGGGCGCTAACGTGAATTTTGTATTTATATCATTTCATTTTATATCACGTGAAAATGACCTACACAGTTTGTACGTCTAATTTTATTATATTACTATTATTCCTTTTCAATATATCTATGTCGGCATATGCCAACAAGAAATATATCATTGACTTTTATGTTTTTATAGATTTGCATTGAGTGTCCTGTTTTCACATTATTTTAGGAGTATGACACCTAACAACTAAAGTAGGACTCATTAAGAGAGTATTTGAAGGGCATTTTTTGGAGAAAAAAATTCATTTTTCTATCGTTAGCATCTATTTGTAGCTTTTTTTTAATCATTACACTCTCATGTGAGGCCCAAGTGACTAATAAACGGTCCAAAAATTAATTTTCTTTTTCCAAAAAATGTCCTCCAAACAGGGACTAAGTTTACTAACTAGAAATAAGAGATTGAGCGCGTGATCACAACTCTCGTTAAACAAATTAGATTTTATCGTGAATTGATCGCAAGATAATAACAATAATAAAATAAAAAACACCAAGATTTACGTGAAAATTCAAAACGGGAAAAAATCATGGGTCGAGGAGGAGAAATATACTATAATCAATAGCAATTGTGTTTATGACAAGATCTTAATGCTCTGAAATAATCTCTAAAACTCTCAAAATATTGTATGAATATTATGGGAACAATATAAGTTGTGGTTTATATATATAAAAACCTAAAAACCAAGTTGAAGATAAATAGAAGTTTAAAGTGCGTTAAAACGCAAAAAAGGGTTGGACCGAATAACCTTGTTCCTCAAGCCACAAGAGGACGACAGGTAGACAAAAAGTATCTGTTCAAAATATGTGGTGCCATTTGAGCGGTCATCTAGTGTCAGGCTTGCGAAAAGAAAATGCGGCTACTTTTCTTTCAGATCCATAATTCTAATCTCATCAATACCACTTCAACTAAGACTTCAATACTTACTAGAATTTGAGTTAAATTACAACAGACTGCTTAAGAAGAGTGAAAGATGTGAGTGAGGAATAGTAAGATTTCGGGTGCAATTCTTTAGAATAGTTTTTTGTTCAAATGGAATAAGTGATAGCATTAATCAAATTTAAGAAATCATGCATCTAAGTCATTTTTATCCTGATACATGCACCCCTGTTACCTGATCAAGTTGAAGTTTGTATTTTGATGGAATCTAAAAATTATAAATGAAGACTAAGTAATCAAATGAACACATTAAATTGTATTCATAAGAATTGCAATTTTCAAGAATTCAATACTTAATGGAGTAATATAAATCAATTTGAGAGAACGTCATTTTTCATAAATTGCAAAGTGCTATGATAGACGACGTAGTGAACGATTAAAAAGTCAATTTTTTTCTTATATCCTTACTTTGAATTAGAAAAATAAAAAATAGAAAAGAAATATTATGCCAAACAAAAAATTAATGGAAAGACCCGACCCGGACCACCCGTAACACCCTTAAGACAGAAATTTTTTAGGATATTAACATCAATGTTTACCTAGAACATTAAAAGCTTGTTTAGCAAAGTTATTTTTTGCTAAAAATAAATGGTCAAACTTCATTTTTTACCATACATTTTATGAAATTTATCAACTTTTATTCAATTTTAATAACACATGATTTTCATGATACCTACCAATTTTTTTTTATCAACTTTATTTGCTAAAAATCTATGTCAAAAAAGGCTTTAAGAGAGTCTGAAAAGTTTCATTTATATATCTTGGAACCGATTTTGCAAAAGTTTCGGGACAAATTTTGTTTACGAGGTGAAGCAAATGGCATATCAAAATTTTCGAAATTTTCATCACAAATTTTGCCTACCATGAATAAAAAAGTACTATTTCAGCTTTCAAATAAAGCAAGACCATTTATTATTCCGGTCTTTATTCTTAAAAGGGACAATTGAAACCATATATATGCCCCGTTTGATCCCCATTAAATTCAATTACATTGCATTCAATTTTTCTCTCTCCTATTTTCAATCACACAATCTTCTATAAAATGATATTATACGTAAATCGAAAACTTTTCCTTCATTTTCAACTACTCATTTTTCTAAATAAATATTATTCCCTCCATTTTCATTTTCAGGTAATGAGGGTCAAATATATATATATATATATTAAAAAAAAACATCGCGCTTCAAAGACAATTGAATCTGTATTTGGTTTAACTAAAAATTATATTTTTAGTAGATTTATTATAAAAGTTGATGAGATTTAGATTCCATTTTTTTCGAAGATTTTGGGTTTCACTTTAGGTAAGGTATTTCATTTTTAGTATAATGTTTGTGTTATAATATTATTATTATTATTTTTTTTAAATTTGCTAATATCATCCGCACCGAAAAAATTCTTAAGTCCGTCCTTGCTTGACCTCCTTTTGAGTACTATTATTCCCTTCAAATATATTTATGTCAACATCAAGATCTTAATCCCAACAAGAAGCATAATTGTCTTATATTTATTTATTTTTTTCACACGAGTAATGGTAGTTATCACCTATGCATTATTCATTTTTTCCATGGTCTTCCAATTCCCAGGTCCTATTTTACTAATTATAAGAGCCCAATTGTCCGTTTGATTACAAAAATGAAATTGAATTACCTAAAAAACGAATTTCAGGAAATTGAATTGCATAGAAATTATTTTCTAGGAATTGTAAATTATTGCGTTTGATTAATAATATAATTTTCCACGTAGAAAATGTTGAAATAAAAGTATTTTTCGGTGTTCGTTTGACTTTATTTTACATGAAAATTGTTAATTAAAGGGATAAAATTTACTGGTATTGGAGATGAAATTTGTTCCCATTGCCAAAACCAAAAACTATCTTTTAGTGTTTTTTTGCCTTGTTTTAGATAAAAATTATCAGTTAAAGGAAAATATTTTTTCACAATAATTCTCAGAATTTGTTTCTATTACCAATAAATAAATAAATAAAATCGAAAAAAATACTACAGTAACCGGGAATTACAATTCTCACCATTTTGGTGAGAATTACAATTCCTTGAATTCATGGAAAATGGTTTACGTGGCACCAAAGATGGAAATTCAATTCTAGGTAAAAAAAAATGGGTATCAAACAAGGTTAAAGTGGAAGATAGAATTGAAATTTCATTTTTCATAGAATTTCAATGCCTATCAAATACTACCCAAGAATAAGTAATTGATTGAGCACATGATCACAACTCTCTAAACAATGACTCATCATAAAAAGAGTGCAAGATTTAGCGAGTGACTAACCATCGTGAACTCTCCATATGGAGCATGAAATCATGATCTAAAAATCAAAAGGGTCCTATTTTATTAATTAAAAATAAACAAAAGATTGATAATGTTATCAGAACTCTCACTAATCTAAAGACACCTAGTAAAAGAGTGCATGATTCAATGAATTCGTCGTGGTTACCATCAACACTTGTGATATTTTTGTAGACGTAGACACAATGTAAAAAAATTTTGAAATCTCATTTTTCATGTTCCTAGTCTTTGTCCTATTTCCAAGTCTTCTTGTTGACGTATTCTTTTCCGTACGTTATCTTTAAAGCGACCTTGATCTTCTCAAGCAAATTACTGTTACTTTCGAAAAATAAAGAAGAAAAATGAAAGATCAACTAATCTTTATGCTGATTTGAAGTTTGAAAAAGCAATAGTTTCGACCTTTAATAATTAATATTGCAATTATTGACACTAACCCTCGGACTTTTCATCCTTTCATCTATGAGCTTGTTTGGAAGTTATTTTTTCTTTCAAAAAATTGATTTTTTGATTTCACTATTTCAGTCGTTATATTTGATTTCTTCTCTTATAAGTGAGCCCCACTTTTCTTTTAACGGTCAAAAAATAAATTCTCAAAATCACTCCCAAACAGGCTCTATATATATTCATGCATATTTGCACCAATTCCCGATCCAACCCTAAAATATAAACTAAAGGCAAAAAAAGGGAAAATGTAAGGGTCCATTTGATTGTAAAAATGGAATTGAATTGAATTGAAAACAAATTTCAAGGAATTGAATTGATTATAAATTATTTTCTTGGGAATTATAAATTATTGTATTTGATTGGTATAATTTTCCACGTGAAAAACGTTAAAATAAAAAGTGTTTTTTGGTGTTCGTTTGACTTTGTTTTATATGAAAATTGTCAATTAAAGGGATATAATTTATTGGTATTGGAGATGAAATTTGTTTCTTTTGCCAAAACCAAAACCAAAAAAAAAATAAAAATAAAAATCATCTATCTTTTGGTGTTCGTTTGACTTTATTTTACATAAAAATTATCAAATAAAGGGAAATATATTTTTTATAATAATTCTTAGAATTTGTTAACTTTGCCAAAAAAAAAAAAAAAATGATATAGCTGGAAAAAAAAAAAAAAAAAAAAATACCAATTCTCAATACAAACAAGAAAATACAATTTCATGGAAAATAAAACATATCAAATATATAAAATTGGAAAATTGTGGAATTCGAATTTTATTTTCCATAAAATTTGAACCAATCAAACATGCCCTAAATTGTTTCTAAAATTTTTGAAAAGGAAGAGGTGTCCATTATCATCATAAATATCCAGACAGGTCTGTAATTTACTGTCTTTAATAATACTATAGTAACTTTCTGGTAAAGCAAGAATAGTAAATTTTAGTGTCAAATGAGAAATAATATAGATTTTGGATAACTATAAGTCACTTTGCCTCTAGATTAGAGTACTGCTATATCTACAAATTCTGGATGGTTTTCGTGTGAGGTGACATATGATAAGGGCGATAAAGTAAATTTTGTATTTACATTATTTCATTTTATATCACGTGAAAATAACCTACACAGTTTGTACATCTAATTTTATTATATTAGTATTATTCCCTTTCAATATATCTATGTCGGCATAGCTTTATGCCAACAAGAAATATATCATTGACTTTTATGTTTTATATATTTGCATCCATTTTCATCCGACCCTAAAACACAAACTAGAGGCAAAAAAGGGAAAAAATGTATAGATTTCCTGGTACCTCCAGCATCACCTTCAATCACAATTTGTCTAAATACTATGTCAGTTTCGAAGGAAAGAGTATAGAAACAACAGTCACAGACAAAGCAGCAATTACAAGTGAATGGATTGAAGAAATCTATTCAATTCATAATGGAAATGCAAAGGTTATTGTTGGTTTGGACGTCGAATGGAGGCCTCACCCCATTCAATCAATGAGTAACAAATCAGCAACTCTGCAACTCTGCATAGATGATAAGTGTCTGATTCTTCAACTCTTTTACATGGATGAAATTCCAGATTCTCTGAAAAACTTTCTTCTGGACCCTAAATTTACTTTTGTGGGAATTGAAGTGGCTGACGATATTTTGAAGCTTAAGAATGAATATGGGCTGGATTGCAGCAGCAGTTCTGATATTCGATCAGTGGCGAAGAGTATGTGGCCGTGGAGGTTTCGTCGTCCTGGATTAAAGGATCTTGCCTTGGAAATATGTGGGCTTAGCATGAAGAAGCCTAAGCATGTTTGCATGAGTAATTGGGAGGCAAGAGAGCTTAATAATAATCAAGTTGAATATGCATGCATTGATGCATATGCTTCTTACAAGATCGGTCACAAACTGCTGATTGAACTGTCAACCAATTAAGGGATGTTTGAAAGTACTATGTTTAAGATTTTAATGGGATTTGTGCGTTTATCTATGTTTTAGTATTATTATGTAAATTTGACGTGTTCTTGAATAAATATATAATTCTCTATGTCACTTGTTAATTTGTTACCAGTTTTTAATATTTTATAATTTTGTTTGAATATATATACATGAAATTATGATAACTTATTGTAGATTCTGTTATTATTTGGACTGCCTCACTATTTCTAAAGAACTGGGCCTATCTAATTGGTTTAGTACCCGGCCCATTACCTAAAACGTGTCCTTGCAAATAACGTTTTTGCCTCCCTCAAGTGAAGCCTTCTGCCGTACACGTGGCTTCTTGGCTGCCTTTGATCTGTGACGATTGATTTTGAGTATTTAACTCTGGGCTCTTCACTTTTTGGCAGAACTGTTCTTTCTCTCTCAATTTTTCTGTCTGTGTGTGAACTAGGGTTCTTTCAAAATTGGTAACCATTCATCTTCGTGATGATTTCTCTGCAATTTAGTGTTTAGAGTTGTATACAAAATCTTTGTGTAAGATTTAGTGTTACCATATTTCAAATAGAGAGGCGAGAGGGAACTTGAAGAAATCTGTAATTTCTTCATACATTTGTACGTTTCTTGGAGATTTAGTGGATCTAGAGCTTAATCGCGCAGTCGATGCTCAACGGGTGAGTAGGTCTTTGTGACTGAATATCCGGACCCTTTATGGGTGAAAAATTCTCTGTGTTCTTGTTTCTATTTTCTGAATCCGTTTTAAATTTCTCAAAATCGAACAAACACGTTGATAAAATACCAACAAGTGGTATCAGAGTTGGTTTCGAAAAATCTTTCTTTTAAATCTGTTGAAATCTCATTTTTTGAAAACCCTAGTTCTTCGATCTGCTAAGAACCAACTGCTGGTTGGATTATCCTTTTTAAAGGAAGGGTTATTTTTGTGGGAAACTGTTTCTCTCTTACTCGGTACTCTAGGGTTTGTACAAAATTTTTAAAAAGGGAATAATTGTTAAATTTTTAATAAACTCGTACTTGACTCGGTCAGATCTACTATCCCTGTTGAGTTTTTTGGTTAACTCTGTTTAAACTCATACTGAGTCTTGTCGAGCTGAGTCAACTCGTTTCGATTCTTTACTGAGTTTTCTAACTCACTGCTGAGTGCTACTGAGTCTCTGTGACTCGTTGATTGGCTGACCTGAGCTGACGTTCTTGGATCATTTCTGGTAATCTGACAGTACTTTCACTCTGAAATCTTGAGATTTCAGATTCCGGTAACCTCTGAAACACCCTCCTTAATTCTGAAATCTGTTTTTCGGTTAACTTTGAACAAGGTCATTAAGGTCAGTAACCTGCCATTGCTTTCCTTTGTCCAAGAACCCTTGAGGATCTGAGAATCTAAGGGAGCAATGGACTCCAGGGTTATAACTCCTTAGACCAAAGTTCCAACTAACTCCCGTATAAAGAAGACTTGATTCTCTGTAATCTTTAATAATTGCATGATAAGCAGAAAAATTAAATATCTAATTTGTACTGTTTTTCATACAGTGCAATTGTATTATATAACTGCCTGCATTCATCTTGTGTATTGCACAACTGTTATTTTGTGAGTCTATTTGTCAATATGTCTACTGTACAAAAATTTGATGTGCAAACTTGGAATGGTATTGGGGATTTTAGCCTTTGGCGTCAGAAAATGAGAGCATTATTATTGCAACATAGGTGTACTGGGGCTTTAGATGGCACCTGGGCTGCTGAAATCAGTGCCTATAGAAGGCAAGAACTTGAAGAAATAGCCTGGAGTACTATTTTTCTACATCTCTCTGATAGTGTAATCAGAAAGGTTGGGGAAACCACTGACACTCAGGCTCTATGGACTAAATTGGAAACTTTGTACTTAACTAGGACTATGCCTAATATATGCTATCTGCTTAGGCATTTTTATAACTTCAGATTTGATAATACATTGAATCTAGAAGAAAATATTGACAGATATACTAAACTAATCCAAGATTTAGATAACTGTGATGAGAAAATCTCAGATGATCAACAGGCTGTTGGTCTATTAAATTCACTTAGTGAAAGATACAGAGATATCAGAAATGCTTTAGAATATGGGAGGGAAAGCCTTACTGTTGATATTATCACAACTGCCCTAAGAAATAAGGAACTTGAACTAAAGTCAGAGTTCAAAAATACAAAAATTGGTGATGGTCTCTACATAAAAGAGAAACAAATTCAAAATAAAAAGAAGAATGTATGTAATTACACTTCCTCTAATAAGGGCAGATTTCAGAAACCAAGATATAAGGATAAAAATAAAGGTCATAATAAAACCAAAAACCAAGTCAGGAAATGTTACTATTGTGGAAAGACAGGACATCTAATCAAAGACTGTTTTAAGAAAATTTCTGACTCAAAAGGAAGAAACAGTCCTGATGATACTGTAGCTCTAGCCTGCAATAAAGAACTTGACATTCAGGGTGTTGTTCTTGCCAACACACCTAAGAGAGACCCAAATGAATGAGTTCTTGATTCTGGATGCACCCACATGTGTCATGTTAAGGAATGGTTTGCTGAATTTGTTGAACTCAATGGAGGTCAAATTCAAATGGGTAATGACATGAGATGTCAAATTAATGGCATTGGAAAGTTGAAACTCAAGTTAACTAATAACTATTTACTTGAGTTAAAGGACCTTATTAGAAAAGGTCAGGTGTATGTTACACAATTCTGGCTTACCAAAATTTTTCTGCGGGGAAGCCCTCAAAACTGCAACCTATCTTATAAATAGAAATCCATCAAGTGCTATTAACTTTCAAATACCAGAAAAATTGTGGTCATGAACTATACCAGAGTACAGAAAATTAAGAGTATTTGACTGTGCTGCTTATGCTCATCAAAATGAGGGAAAATTGGAACCTAGATCGCAAAAATGTGTCTTTATTGGTTATGGAGAGGAAACCAAAGGATATATACTTTGGGTTAAGGAACAGAATGATTTCAAAGTTATTATAAGTAGAAATATCATATTCAATGAAAAGGATATGCCATGCTTAAATTCATCTAGACCAAAATCAAATGAATCTACAATCATAAAAGAAACTGTTCTGAAAAATCAAATTGATAGCCCCATTGATCAGATTGAGGTGGAGACCACTCAATCTGAAACTAAAAGTGATCTACCTGAACCTGTGTTTGAATCTGAAAATACATCTCTTACTGATTATCAACTAACAAGAGATAGGGAGAGGAGAAATAGAATACCCTCTACCAGATTTAATACTGATGAATTTGTCACCTTATTTTCTGGTCTAGATTCTTTGAATTTAGAACCAAACACCTATGAAGAAGCTGTTAGTTGTCCTGATTCAAATTTCTGGAAGGAAGCTATGGATGATGAAATGAATTCTCTGATAAAAAATGAAACTTGGGTTGGTAAATAAACCAAAAGACAAAAGGATAGTTGATTGTAAGTGGATCTTCAAAATAAAACAAGGAGACTCTAACTCAGAAAATAAGAGGTATAAAGCTAGATTAGTAGCAAAAGGCTTTACCCAAAAAGAAGGTGTAGATTACAATGAAATTTTCTCTCCAGTTGCTAAATACACCCCAATCAAAATTCATCTTGCATAAACTGCACATTTTAACTGGGAATTAGAACAATTGGATGTCAAGAAAGCTTTTCTCAATGGAGAACTTGATGAAGAAATATACATGAACCAACCAAAGGGTATCAAATAAAATCAAAAACTCAACAGGTTTGTTTATTGAAAAAATCACTTTATGGGCTTAAGCAAGCTCCTAGGCAGTGGTATATTAAATTTTACTCTTATGTGAAAACCTTGAGGTTTATGAAAAGTAATTATGATTCCTGTTTCTTCTTCAAGGGATCTGGTGGTCCTAAATCCATTTATTTGCTATTGTATGTTAATGACATGTTACTTGCATGCCATGATAAATCTGAAATAGAATCTGTCAAGTTTAAACTGAAATCAGAATTTGAAATGAAAGATCTAGATAAAGCTAAAAGAATTCTAGGAATGGATATAGAAAGGGACAGAAATAATTACATGCTATATCTAAAACAAGAAAACTATGTAAAGAAAATTCTAGAAAAGTTTTCTATGGTTGAATGTAAATCTGTATCCCTGCCCCTTGCAAATCATTTCAAATTATCATGTGATCAGTCACCAAAAACTGAAGAAGAAATTGATAGAATGAAAAATGTTCCATATGCTAATGCAATAGGATCTATAATGTATCTTATGGTATGCACTAGACCAGATCTAGCTCATGGAATAAGTATTTTGAGTAGATTCATGGCAAACCCAGGTGAAACTCATTGGCTAGCAGTTAAATGGATGCTTAGATATCTAAAAGGATCATGTCAACTAGGAATAAATTTTAAAAGATGTAATGAAGGTATAATTCTGAAGGGTTACTGTGATTCAGACTTTGCTGGAGATTTAGACAAAAGAAGATCTACTTCATCTTATATTTTTACTCTGTGTGATAGTTGTATCAGTTGGAAATCACAACTGCAGAAATTAGTTGCATTATCCTCAACGGAGGCAGAATATATTGCTGCATGTGATGCTGTTAAAGAATGTATTTGGCTAAGAGGGTTATTAAATGAAATTGGTTTTCAAAATGATTCTATAAAAATATTTACTGATAACCAAAGTGCTATACATTTGAGTAGAAATCCAGTATATCATAATAGAACAAAGCGTGTTGACATAAAATTCCATTTCGTGAGGAACATGGTTGAAAAAGGTATGATTTCTTTAGTCAAAATCCCTACTGAATATAATCCCTCTGATGTAGGTACTAAGATACTTCCTTTAAACAAGTTCAAAAATTGCTTAATGATTCTGAATATCACATAAGATTGACAGTTAGTGATAAACTAGAATCTTAAGCCATGTATAGAATTCAAACTAATTCCAATTTTTGTTTTTACAGGTTATGAGAGCAAATGAAGGTAGTGCGATCTCTAGATCCATTAATTAAACAAGAAATAGCTCATCAAGGTGGAGTTTGTTATTATTTGGGCTGCCTCGCTATTTCTAAAGAACTGGGCCTATCTAATTGGTTTAGTACCCGGCCCATTACCTAAAAC